TTGGGAGCTGTTCGTTTGCTATGGCTTCTATGGAGATAAGGGCCTGTAGAACTTAACACTACTGATTTCCAAATCCACCCCGAAACCTTGCCCTAAAACCATCTTTTCTTGCATCCAGGCTTAGGGGCTTAGGGTGTAGTGTTTAGGCGAAGCCTTACCCTAAACCCTAAACCCTCAACCCTAAACTCCTAACCGCTTGAACCTCCACCTGAAACCAGGAGGCTCCCGCCAGGGTCGCAGCAAGCCTGGCAGTGCTGGGTTAGGGTTTAAGGTTTAGGGTTTAGGGTTTAGGGTTTTAGGGTTTAGGGTTTAGGGTTTTAGGATTTAGGGTTTAGGGTTTAGGGCTTAGGGTTCAAGGGCTCAAGTTGGTGCAAGGGCACCTGAAGCTTTATGTGCAGGCAGAAGTGGAGCTTCAGAATATGCAAAATCTTCAGTATCTTTTTGTATATATATATATATATGTATACAAATGTGTTTGTTTGTAAAAAGCATACATGCATACATGCATACACACACATATGTGTACATATATATATATATATACATATATATATATACATATATATATATACATATATATATATATATATACATATATATATATATATGCATACATGTGTGAACATCTGGGGGGTTTCCCGAGACTAGGGGTACCTTCTTGGGGGCCTTATGTTAAGGGATCCTACCATTTGGGGATCTATATTTGGGTCCCCTAGTTTCGTAAACCCCCCATATGTATACATAGTACGCGCAGGCTTGATTTAGAGTATACCTAAACCCTAAACCCTAAACCCAACTCATTGTGCAGCGAGGTGGCATGTGTAGGGCGCGATCGAAGCTTCAATCGAATTGACCTTGTCGACAGTGGTGGATCTTAAGGCGTGAACACTCAAGACGTGTAACCACTAAGTGCCAGAAGTTTGTGCTATATTGATTTATAGAATTTACAAGAGGGTTGTGATGTCTGTCGGGGCCGAGTGGCCATAAACCAAAGTCCCAACGCCAGAATGCGGAAGCTCTGCGTGCGCTGGCTTGAGGACGCTTGAAGCTTTCTTGCTTTGATGCCTTTGCTTTTGCTGGCTTGTGCTTGCTGTTTTTGACTTTCGGACGCTCTCTCTCTCTCTCTCCCTCTCCCTCTCGCTCTCCCTTTCCTCATGTTTACGACGACGACGACTACTACTACTACCACTCCTCCTACTTACTCGTACTCCCCTACTCGTACTCCGACTGCGGTCCCCAGCTACGGAGTCCCGTAAAGTAAAGTCATAGGGTTTAGGATTCTTAGAGCTTGAAGGGTTTAGCCACAGAAACCGTAGAACTTGACCCCGAGGTCCTCACGACAGACAGCTATACCGAAAGCAAGTCATGACCTGCATGCGAAGCCACTTTACTCCCCTTAGAACCTTAATAAACATATTATGTTTAATGCCCTCTTGAGTTTTATATAATAAAAATCAAAAAATAATTCCCAAGGGGAACATAGGCCAAGGAACCATCTGCGTCGCATCTTTTATAGCTCGAGCCGAGAAGCTCGATAACTCCTCAGAAACATGTGGCTGCGAGCCGTGGAGCCTTGAGAACATACACCAATTCCGGAGGGGGGGGGGGGGGGGGGGCGTTTTGCATTAAACAAAAGCAGGGTTTGGCTTGCTCGGACCACTCAAGGAAAGAAAAGGCTAAAGCTATACGTAACACATGACCTAAAGATGTAAAAGGTTTTAGCAGGATATTGAAGAGAACTACTTAGGGTTCAAACCTTAGGGGTACGAGTTTTAATCCCTTGAAGGCTAAGGGCCCTCAAGAATTGAAAGCTAAGCTGGGGTAGGTTTGGGGGGCCCTAGAAAAAACTCCTATGGCAATTTTTTTTGGGGTTATAAGGGGGATCAAGATGAGAGATCATGTTCAAACCTACCCCTGGCAAGTCCGAGTCCTGCTTGCAAACTTTATCTGTAACCAAGATCCGGCTCTTGCACTTGGGAAGGCTGACTTGGCTTAGGGTTTAGGGTTTAGGGTTTAGGGTTTAGGGTTTAGGGTTTAGGGTTTAGGGTTTAGGGTTTAGGGTTTAGGGTTTAGGGTTTAGGGTTTAGGGTTTAGGGTTTAGGGTTTAGGGTTTAGGGTTTAGGGTTTAGGGTTTTTTTAACGAACCCGCAAACTGTCTACACTCTGGCGTGGCCCAATTTCTTACCCCTGACCACAGTCCGGCCCACTTGCGAACTGTGAAAGGAACGGGCTGCTGGTGGCCTCTTGGCGTACCTTGAGGGTGCTGTTCTTGCGACGAGGGAATCCTCACTCTAAACCCTAAGCCCTAAACCCCTAAACCCATTTTGGTGCCATCTGAAGGCTATAAGCCCCTAGCACATTGAATTCGCGAGTGCAAAGTCTGACAAACCCCGGGGGCTATTCCATCAAAACCCCAGCCCTGAAAGTCCTGAATCCTGCATTCACCCAACTGAACGCCCTACATGAATAGTGAAACCCCTTCTCCCAAACGTAGACAATATGTGCTTGACAGACCCTAACCGTAACCCAAAACTCCAAACCCTGAGCAAACCTCTGCCCACAAACCCTAAACCCTAAACCCGAAACCCTAAACCTTCCCCGGCTAGGGTTCCGCGAGGAGAATGCCCGCAAAGTCCGTCACCGTGGGCTCCGCCGGCGTGCCCGTCGCCGTCGGGAGCCCCAAGGGGTCGGGGTTCTTGGCTGTGGCTTTTGGGTTTTGGGTTTAGGGTTTAGGGTTTGGGGTTTAGAGTTTAGGGTTTAGGGTGTGGGGTCTAGGGTTCGGGGGCTTAGGTTTAGGGCTTAGTTTAGGAAGGCACCTGGAGGTTCATGGGTGCTTACTTGTAAGTAGGGCTACAAAGTATCCGAAGTAAGGCTATACTAATTGTAAGTCGTCATCCTACCAAGAACCCGATTGATGACTACCCATGAACCTGCAAGCAGGGGCTTTGGGCTTAAGCGGGGCTTGCGGAGCTACAGGGGGCCAAGGCTTAAAGCTTGCGTAGTTGAATTCGGGAAACCGAGCGGTGCAAGGCAGGGCCTGTGGCTTTGAGCTTTCGCCTTTCGGCGTCTTCGTCGCCGGTCTACTGTCAACTTCGGCCCTGCTCGCGCGAGTCCGGGTTCCGAGTGTGCGCACAGGACGCAAACGCGTACGCAGCATTATCTTAGACAAAAGGCTTTGTTGTTTCAGGACCCTATACATGGGTACAACACATAGCTGCGCGGGAAGTGGCGTGGGGTTTGCTGCCCCTTACCGCAACGCCAGCCGTAACAGTTGGCCGAGGTGACTGGTTCCAAGGCTTTCAGGATTACTTGAAGGTTCATAGTAGTGTTATAAGTAGGGCAACTATCGTGATAAATGGTTTAGGTTCTGTATACATATATATACAACTGTACTTATAACTACCCATGAACCTCAAAAGAGTCTCTAGGGAAAGGTTTGGCATGCTCGAAAATGTGATTGGCATGCTACTGTCTGCTTTCATCTGGTTTCATGTGGCTTCTAGACGACACCTCACGCCAACAACTCTTCACCCACACCCTGCTAGAACCCCCAAGACCGGAAGGATTCCTGGGTAGTTGCAACTAGGGTTCTATGTCGGTCATTTTGTTAAGCGTGGGCGGAACTACCCTTGAACTGTCAAAATAGCCCCTAAACCCGAAACCCGAAACGCAACCCGATTCTAGCTACCCAGGAACCTTCAAAGTACACGTACACTACGTAGCCCCTAAACACTTAACCCCAAACCCTACACCCTAAACCCCTAAACCCCTAAAAACCCTAAACCCCTAAACCCTAAAACCCTAAAAACCCTCAAACCCTAAACCTAATGCTACAAACTACCCGGGAACCCTCATACGCCAGCCGACTCCCATGACGCAGCAGCGCCCAGCCGCAGGGTCCCCTTTTGGCGACTTCGAGCCGAAGAGCCACGGTTTAGGGTTTAGGGTTTAGGGTTTAGGGTTACGGCCAGGCATGCGCAACCGGTCTATGTCTGAAAGGGTTTCGACTCTCACACCAGCACAAGCAGGCAAGGCTCGGAAAGGGTGTAGAGTTTTCGGGTTGGGGTAGAATTGTGGCCCAGCTTTAAACTCCTGTTAATCAGATTCTCGTTAAGCTGTTAGTCTGTTGGTCTTACATGAGCGTACTGCACGTGCTGTCTGAATCTGATTGGAAGCGTCAGGGCACGCGAATGAGTCTCCCTTTATGGCTGAGCACTGGTGGCATCTCTACGCCAGCCGGATAACGATTCAATATCTGGGAGGGGGCATACCAAGCCGAAGCCCCAAACTCCTGATCCTGTGCTTAGTTGTCCAGTACCTAGGGGTTTTAAAGGTTAACCTTTGGGATTTTAAGGGGAATATATTAACCCAAAAAGGTTAAAGGTTACCTACTCTACTACTAAGTGTGCCCCCTTTTCCACGAAAGACATGCCCTGCAAGCTCCAGTTGAACTGGCAGGGGATGCATGGCCGCACCGCAAAAAAGTTTGCAGAGGTCAGTTTTTTTTTTTGCTTTTGCTCTGATGGCTACTACTATGACCACTTACTACTACTACTACTACTACTACTACTACTACTACTACTACTACTACTACTACTACTACTACTACTACTACTACTACTACTACTACTAGTAGTAGTATTAGCATCATCAACATCACCAGTACTATTTTTGTGTCGCAATCCAGTGCCCTCGTTTGTGCTTTAGGGATTGGTAGCCCTGTAACCATATTATAACGAGGGTACTCCCCATTTTGGGGTTGGTAATGTTACTTGACAAGGGAACCTAGAACCAAGAACATGGCAAAACGGGTACCACTGGTGGTACCAAAAGGCAAAAGGGTTTAGGGTAATTTTGGTGTGCTACGAAGTCCAAACCGCCCCTGCCCCGCCCGACACCCGATGGAACCTTGGTCACAACCTTCTGAGGTCCAGCACTCGGGTTAGGGTTTAGAGTTTAGGGTTTAGCGCTTGGCGTTTTGGGTTTGGGGGTTTAGGAGTTCACCCATTGCTGCCATAACTTGGAAAGGCGTTCAGGAAAGCGGCCACACCGCGATTCCTGAGTTCATCAGAAGCTTTCATGCTGTTCCCGAACAAGCTGTGGGCTGGAGGCGGACCGGCCTCTATGAAATTAGGGGGCCCTGTGGGTGGAGTGCTCCATCGCCGCTTCATCAAATGGCGCACCAGCTTTGTGTAATGCACCCGAGATGCCACTGCAGAGAACCAGCAGCCTGGGCTTCTTGCTGCACTTCACATTCTCCTGAACGCCTAAACTGATTTAGTTTCTTCGGGCTATTGATTGGGATCACATGCAGGACAGGGCGGAGTCCAAGCTGGGAGCCCTAGGCCTAAACCCTAAACCCTAAACCCTAAACCCTAAACCAACCCTAGACCCTAGACCCTAGACCCTAGACCCTAGACCCTAGACCCTAGACCCTAGACCCTAGACCCTAAACCCTTAACTTAATGCCAAGTTGCCAGACGCCTCTTCTCGGACTCAGTGGCCGGAGGCTGTACGAGGCCGGTGGTGAAAGCGTCGCTGCCTTGGCACTAAAGGTTTAGGGTTTAGGGTTTAAGGTGGGGGGGGGCAGGACTTAGGGTTCAGGACTCACAAGGGAAGAGCATGCAACCCTCAGACTCCCAGTTTCATGTCGCCGGAGTGGCAGCAAGGGGCGCGATGCAATGCAGTATGCCTGCCAAACCTTCCAAAATCACCCTGCAGCAGATCGGACCCGAAACTCCTGCAAAGTAATGAGGTCCGGGCAGAACAGAGCCAGAAGTGCAACGAGGAGGCTAGCAATGGTCCATGGAGGTTGCCAGCCCTCTTCGCGTCAGCGGAGTCGGTTGAAGAGGTCTCGAGCCCTAGAGAGCCCTCCAACCTAAGCCCTACAAACCCTAGCCGACCCTATATCATACATGCTGTAAAGCCCCCACACTTCTCGCCCTAAAGCGCCCTTAATTTTTCACCCTCTACTAAGGGTTGCCGGTTCCCAAGCCCGGGTTCTCTGCAGGTGAAACCCTTAAACCCTTTGACCAGACCTCTCAACCCTGAATCCCTCGACCCTTTGAAGCCTTAGAAGCCTTAAAAGCACCCTTTTGTGCTTGCGAGTCCTTAAAACGGGGCCGAAAGCCTTGAAGCCTTACTTGGAGGGTCATGGGGTTGGGTAACTACAGGTATACTTGGGTTTTACGGCACGAATAGGTGACAGCTGAAGCTGCGATACCCCAGTCAATGCCATCCAAAGCACTGAAACCCAAGAACCCGAAATTCGAAATGTCCTGAGGACCCGGGATGCTAAAGGGCCCTAAACCCTAAACCCTAAATCCCAAAACCCCTAAACCCTAAACCCCTACACCCCTAAACCCTGACCCTAACCCTAAACCCTAAACCCTCGGCCTCTGGATGGTAGTCCAGCTGCGTCCGGCACAGCCAGGTGTCGACCTGCTCACTCACTGTTGGAGCTTACTTCTAGGGTTCTTAAGCGGGGGGTTTAGGAGGGTATGCAACCCAGGTTTCCCTAATACTCCCCACTACTCCCTAGGCTCCCGAAGCTTCCTTAAGGTTCCCTAGCTCCCTTAAGAACCCTATAATACATGCGTGAAGCACCCAAAGATGGTCGGGGGCTGCTTCGACGTTCAAAGTAAGACAACAAGTACCCTCATAAGTATAGCTACCCTACTTAGAATACTTCTAGCTACCCATGAGAAGGCTCAGAAGTACCCTCATAAGTATGGTTACCCTAAATAGAATACTGATAGCGACCCAGGAACTGAAGCTTCAAGTGTGGTCTTCTGTGACACAGCGATTCAGGGTCCACTGCTCATGGCCCAGCTGTGACAGCAAAGGCCCGGTTTAGGGTTGGGATGCTCCCCCTAAACCCTAAACCCTAAACCCTAAACCCTAAATTCTAAACCCTAAACCCTAAACCCTAAACCCTAAACCCTAAACCCTAAACCCTAAACCCTAAACCCTAAACCCACCCCCTCATACTAACAGCCCTTCAGAGGGATCATAGTACCCCGCTTTAGTATCCCTATGAAGGACTGCTTAGTATAAGGGGAACATCCCAAGTTCAGGGTTTACCCCTGGCCAAAACAAGGTTAACCTTTCAAGTGTGGTAGGATTCGACATACCCCAAAAGGTTAAAGGTCACCTACTCAGCTACTAAGAGACCCAAGCTGCATGCTGCACAACCACTCAGACTGAGCAAATCTCGAGGACTGCAGCGGAGTGCCTTGCGTAACTCTGAACCCGCATTCAGCGAGAAGAAAGAAACACTTAAAACCCAAACCCTGGGCCCTCAATCTTACCCCTGCCCCCCACCCCCGCCCCCTCCCAAAGACTCAAAAAAGACCGCATCGAGCTAAGCACACCTGAAATCGGCCATTGGGAGTGCGAAAGCGGACCAAGGGCGGCTCAAACGGATATTCCTCCAAACTCAGGCAAATTCTCTCACGGTTTGGGATGAGGGTTGAGCGTTTAGCTTTTTTGCCACTTGCTTAGCTGACACTTGTGTGTGTGTGTGTGTGCCTCCCGTCGTGCGCTTCTCGATGTGTGACACGGGTTTTTGCCACCTGCCTAGCAGCCTCGCACCACACTGCAGGGATGCAATAGACGTTTAGGGTTAAGGGTTCAGGGGTGCCGAACTCAAGCAATTCGGGCTCAGGGTTTGCATGAACAGGTTTGATGCAGCTACGGATCAATGCTTGCTACAAAGTACATGTAGCATACCTTTCGTTCATAGTGAGCAACCGTACAAAGGGTTTAGGGGGTAGGGACGGCTTTAAGGTATCTTCTTCCTGAATGTAAGGGCCAGGAATATTGGGCCCCTGCGTCCTTCAGCATCTCAATCTGCCCCCAGTAGACGCCGCCGGCATACGACGTGTCCGGGGGGCCTCTGCCCCGCAAACAGAAAGCCCCCGAGGGTTCTTTTGTGTGTAGCGTAGTTCTCTGTTGTGTTTGAGGTTTCAGGGTTTAGGGCTTGGGGTTCTAGAGATACCAACCTGGCAAAGATAAGCTGCAGCATGAGGTAGAAGTTAAGTCTGGAGGCAGCAAACAACAAGCTTCAACCTGTTGACGCCATTCCTCGGAATCCATGCGCACGCGAACGCCAACACCTTACTTTCGGTTCAAGACTGGAAGGTCTCGATCCTCAACCTCACGACCATCACAAGGAAGCAAGGGGTGGAAGGGAAGGGGGGTGTAAGGGCCCCATACTCGTTCCTTCTGAGACTAGGATCCTCTCCCCTGTGCCTTCGATCAGGAAGTGCCATTTCAAGATGGACGAGTCCGGGCCTGGCTTGGGGCTTGTACTTGAAGGTTCCTGAGTAGTTGTAAGTGGAGTGACAAGTAGGGTAATACAACAAGCGTATTTAGGGTACTTATATTCCTACTTACCCATGAACCTGCAAGTAGGGTCTGTACTGTTCACGGACTTGGAGAAAAAAGAATTCCAGATGGTAGTCGGTCTCCCATGGCCCAGCTGGGTTTAGAGAGCGTTGGATGGAGGGGTGGGAGCAGCTCTCCATATCGTTTCCCTCTCTTTCCTTGCCGTCTAGCGGCAGCTCACCCGAACAAATGGCGGTGGGTCCTGGCCAAGATGGGAGGTTTAGCGTGGTGTAGGACTTATGGCAGACACACCCACATGCTGTATGCACGTTTGTCGGCCATCGCACGAACAAGAAACCTCCGCTTAGCTGCAGGCACTCTCTCCACGATCAGCGCCCCTGAGCCCTTCGCCAACCGGAAACTGCTAACCCCAAACCCTACCACCCCTAGCTCCTGAAGCATACAATGCAGTTGTAGCTAATCCATTCCCTAACAATGAAAACAACCTTCTGCAAGCAAACTCCCTGGCCCCAAAACCCGGTTCGGCAGTCGCCCCTTCTCAATCTTGCCAGAATGTGGGGGAGGGGTGAAGCCTGAAACCTAGTAGCCCTAGAGCTTGAACCTGTTCTATGACTAAATAGCACTAAGCCAGCAAGCTACAAGGACGGGCTGTTTGTTCGGACACACGAAAAAGAATCCCGTTTTTGCGTGCGGGCTATGATGTCCGACCCTACACCCTGAAAAGCCTTATGAACCCTAAATACAAGCTCTCAGCCCTACATTCGACATTCAGAAACCCTCAGCTGCACCTCAACAGCCCCTACTTGCGGCTCCAGGGCAGTTAGAAGCAGGATCAGAAGTGCCCTAAATGCGGGTTAAGGGATAGGGGTTTAGGGGTATAACCAAGGCTACCCCACTTTTTCTGCCTTGCTATGACACCCCCATCAGCAAAAACAGGAAACTGTGTGATCTACCCAAAATGCCCACTGCAATTAAACAGTAAATAGGCCCTACATTCCGAATTTGTTTCCAACGAGGACTCTCTCAAGTGCCTGCGAGATCCCCTACCAATCTGCACATGTAGCAACTTTAAAACCTCAACCCGTCTTTGAACCCAGACTCGAAAACCAAAAAACCCTAAACACGACCAAACCCACCACCCCAAACACCCCAAACCCCCACGATCCTCAAAAACCCAAAACCCTCCCCAGAACCCCTCAGAACCTCCCCAAAACCTCCCAAAAACCCCGCAAAAACCTCAAAAGCCCCCAAAACCCACAAAACCCGCCCAAAACACACCCCAAAACCCCAAAACAAACCCAAGAACCCCCAAAACCCCCCCAAAACACCTCGCAGGGTCCTTCGTCACCCCCTCCAGCTCGCGCCGCAGCCGCTGTGCCGCAGCCTTGGAGGGCGCGCCTCGGGGCCTGAGAAGGAGCCGCTTTGGTGGTTTGAGGGTTTACAGGGGGTTATAGGGGGTTTAGGGTGTTGGGGATGTTTCCCCTGAGACTAACAGGCCGTAGTGGGGATTGGTTTAGGGTTTATAGGGGGTTTTAGGTTTTTAGGGTTTTGGGGATGTTCCACCCTTATGCTGGCAACTCCTTAATAGGGACTAGAATGAGGGGGTACTCTAGTCCTTAAGGACTGTTAGTATAAGGGGGAACATCCCAATTTAGGGGTTTTAGGGTTTTGGCGTTTCGGGGTCAGGGTGTACAGCAGGGGTTTGAGGGTTTAGGGGTTGAACTGAGTTGCTTCGGGGGGTGTGGGGCGGGGTTTTAGGATGCCTTGGGCGTGTGGTATCTTGGGGTTGAGGGTTTAGGGATCCAAGAGGTTCCCTTAACATACTCCTGATGTGGCCCTTCTATTCCCTTAGAGGATCTTTAAAACGGGTCGTAGAGCCCACGGGTGCAGCCTCAGGGGTTCAAGGTAAGAGTCCCATGAGAAGAGAAGTTTCGCGTGAGCTGTTGCGGGCTTGGAGCCTCGCTTGTTCAGGCCGATTCCGGCCTGCCTTACTTCGACATGTCATCCTCAACGGGCATCTTGGGCTAGTTTCTACGATCTATTTGTGTAAGGGCTTATGCTGGGATACCGATGGTTACATTAGCAATGATTATCCTGTGCTGGTTTCACCTGTGCTGAATCTCAATGACCCCTTAGAAAACGCTTGTGAGCACTTGAGCCCTTGAGGTTTTACCCTAGGGTTTGGGGGACAGGATCCCTGAGGTAGTATCACGGCTATACTAGGAGTATATTGAGGCATTAATCCTTTGAGAACCCTTACGCTCAAACACTGTTAATCCCTAAACCCCCAGGATGCGGGATCAAGTATCAAGGATAAGTCACGCCTGGAAACCAAGCAAGCTAGAGGTGTGAGTAAGAAATTCCCTAAACCGAACGTAATCTTGAACATTTCTCAGCCAATGCCTCGGCAGCTGGCGTTTGCACGATGCTGCAGACTAGCTGCTTGCAAGCAGCCGTCCAGCATCGTCGTGCACGCGCTCCTCCTAACAATCTTAATGATGCCAAAATGGTTCTCGACAGCAGTTGCCTAGACAATTCGATTCACGAGTCTCGACAAAGAGTTATATACTTGGAGGCCCATGGGTAGTTATAGGCGGGGTTATGAGGAGGGTAACTATAGTGATAACTGGTTACAAGCTTTTTAAGGGAACAGATAGCCCTACTTATAACCATCCATGAACCTCCAAGCGATATCATGACTCATGTGCCCATCGCTTCATCTCGCCGAGCACGGCGTGCCATGAGTTTGATATCAAATGTTCTGTCATATCTGACAGCATTGTTCTCCAAGAGTTTGCCGTGTGCGCCTTTATTAGTTGACTTTTCCTTCTCATCCAGTTTTCGCTTGTCAGGAGGAAAGTGCGTCAATCGCCAGAGTCGGGTCCAAGATGGTGTTTCTGACCAGCGATCCCACGCACCCCAGGTGTAGAACACAAATTCCGCAGTCACGGGTGGAATGCGCAACCGCGCCACACCCAAGCGATCCAACTCAGCGTCCGTGAAACAATTGTTGCGTATACGAACTAGGTGTAGAAGTTGCACGCCTTCCTTGAATTTGAGAAGCGTTGCGCGGGCAGCCAACATGAGCTCCTTCCAGACAGTGAGCACTTCAAGCATACAAGGACGGCCCTGCATATTCCGGAGGATGCTTCGAATACGGACAGGCTCGCACTCCGGCGACTGTCCCTTATTATCGAGTGCCACTGCCAGTGGCCCCTTGCGTCCTGGTATCTGCTGTCGCGACCCTCGCGATACATCGAACTCCTCGCAATAATTGCCCTCCTCGCACTTCCACAGATTCGCAAAAAAATCGAGGACCTGGAGAACCACTGCAGCTGGGTCGTCAACACACTCCGAGGATTCCGCTGCTAACGTTCGGGTGATGGTCTTCATCATAAAGGTTGAGCAAAGCTGAGCATCACGGAAGCACGCTAGCCATAGCTTCAGGATCACGACCGCCTCTTTTACATGCTCTGCCATCGTTACGTTCGCATCCTGTTCTGGAGAGAGTAGGAAAAGTGATGGTCGTAAAGCAAGCATGGCGCTTTCCTTCATGACGTAGGGAGAGAAGATGTTGGACAAAATGTAGCGAAGAATCGGCTTGACACGATCTGACATTGGATAGGGGTACCTTTTTGAGGACAGTTCCTCGATGAGTTCTTCAGACACCCTCAACGCGACGGAGATGTCCACCTTGATATCCTTCCAGAACAAAGACACACCAGCACCAGCTCTGCGCCGAAGTTCGACAAAGTCGAAATGATGGCGAGAGGTTGGATCAAGTTCAAGGCTCGGCTCCGTATCAAGCCGCAAGATAAACTTGTGCAGCTTCAGGTCTTCGACTTCACGCAGTAGCAGAACAACTCTCGCAACGAGAGTTTTCACAACGAACACGACTCCAGCAAGGTCATGCAGCATGTCGTTTGGGATCCAATTGATCCCCCACTCCAAGACGATGTCTACATCTGAGCCAAAGTGCGTGGCGGTGCCGTTGCACAGTGAGCCTACCACGTGCCCGTCATCAAAGCACGGGATAGAGGTCGAAAGCACATGCTCTGCCTCCATCGTCTCTGTCCGCCAAGTAGACCGCAACACGCCCTTGATGCGGTCAGCCACTGTTCGATAGCGTGCCACCTCTGCTGCAGGCAAGCGCAGTCGGCTTCCGAGGTCGGCGATAGCACGTCTGCACTCTTCCACGGTTGCTGAGGCAGGCGGCGGAGGGTATTCAGGTGCTGCAGTTGGCTGCTGGCAAGTGCTCCAAGAATGCGAAGCATCTTCAGCAGCTTCATGGGAAGGCACATCAGGTTTGACAGGCCCGTTGCCAGTGGACCCGGGTACTCTTGCATTGTCAGGCCCTTCCACCAAGAACCTGCGGCGAAGCCCGGCGAAGGAACAACGCTGCATCGCCTGAAGCCCTGAACCCTACAAACCCCCCACACACGCCCGAGCCTTGCTACAGTTGAGCCCAGGAACTGTGGGTTCAGTCAGTAATTTGAAATGAACATGCATGTTTCGTGACCCTGGGGGATGAGTGAAGGGGCCCTGTGGTGCGATGGTTCTTGTCAAGCTGTGCGGGCCTTTTTTAGTCACCTTTCGGTTTCAGAGTCTAGGCCGTCGATGGCCTTCGCCCGCAGCATGCAGCAAGCCGTACCGCGGTGTACACGGATAATTGGCATCTAGGGGTTGCACCTTGGACCCTTGAGGTTGTACCCTTGGGTTTTGGGGGCCCTATTAGCGAGTTGTCGTGACATCCACGATGCTAAGCAAACTCGGAACCAACACCGCCACACCCGAGGTGAGCTCTTTGCCTTCCAGCTGAACTTAGCTTTGGAGTAGACCCTGAAAAAAAAGGTATATACTTTTTAGGCATAAGTAGCTATAATAGGAACCCAGAACCAAAAAAGTATTAAAGTATGGTACGCCAAGACCCAGTGAAAACCACAACCATACGTTCACCCAGCAGCAGGAACATGAGGCCCTCGCCTCTTCACCAGGTCCATGTCCACTGCGACAGGGCCGGCCCATGAGTTGTAGTTGTCCAAGACCTTATGTTGACATGTTCGGGGCACATGCCGGGTTTTTTCTGCAGAAACTTGTAGAAGTGCAGACGCCGCTGCGCGCTACACCCTTTCCAACACCAATGCCAACATCTTTGCAAGACATTTATACATATATATAAATATATAAACACACCCACATGTGTGTGTGTGTGTGTGTGTGTGTGTGTGTGTGTGGTGTGTGTGTGTGTGTGCGCGGGTGTGTGTGTGTGTGTGTGTGTGTGTGTGTGTGTGTGCGTGTGCGTCTGTCTGTGAGTCTGTGTGCGTGGTCCTGCTTTCAGCATGCTGTGCATGTGCAAGATGGCTACAAGTATACCTGCCCTGAGCTCCTCATATGGTAGATGATTCTGGTAAATGATGACCCACGTTCCTGGGCTTCCGAATCCCTTTGGCGTAGGCTTTTCTGCTGGCCCTTTTTGCAGCTTTCCTCAACCCGAAGATGCCTCCTTGTGGAGGACCGTAACTTTGACAGCCCTTTCTTGGAGATGAATTCATAGGTGTAGCTATATTGATGGCGGGTTATAGCTTTATTTAGGGTACTTGTAGAACCCAAACCTTCCAGATCCGAAAGCCAGAGCTTAAAATTCCACGCGGTGTGCCAGGGTTTCTGTTCCTTGTATCCCCGAAAAAGGACACCCATTCTTTAGACTCACCTACATTTAAAACGGATCCCTCCCAATGGCCGTAATATAATGCAGGGGCCTTAATCATTAGAATAGGGTTTTGGGGGATATGAAAGTCTAGTTGTACAGCGACACCCTAAACCCTAAACCCTAAACCCTAAACCCTGGACCATAAGGGAATATCCTTAGCAAGTATTCCGACCCCCATAGGAAACCCTATGTCATCTGGTCTAGTAAGGCCACGGCTGCGCTGTGCGGAATGTACCTCCGTCAGGGTTTAGGGTTTAGGGTTTAGGGCCAGCCAGACCACGAAATGAGATTCCGCCGTAGGGCAGAAGGCTGCAGGGCAGCAATTTTACAGGGTTTCGGGTTTATGAGGTTTGTAGGGTGTCCAGAGCTTAGAGGGCCAGGGTTTATAGGGTTTAGGGGCCGAAATGTTAAGCAAGCAAGTCAGGCAACCACACCTCTGAGAGTCGAAGTGACAAACAAAAGAGATGTTGCCCCAGGCTCCCGTACAAAGCCGACGCCACAATCAAGCCTATAGAGTTAAGAGATTAGGGTTTAGGGGTACTTGAAGGTTCTGGGTAGTAGCTACAAGTAGAGTTATAGGTGCCCTAAACAAGGTTCGGATAGACCCAGCTATAAGTATAGCTACCCTCATACTCGTAACCCCACTTCTAACTACCCATGAAGCTCCAAGTAAGCTTGGTTGTTCAGCTTCTGCAGGTGTGTTTCCTGCCTGCCACCGGGATGTGCCACAAGGCCAGGAAGGTGTACACTGTTTGGAGGTTCATGGGTAGTCATGAATGGGGCTGTAAGTACCCTCAACTAGGGTTAGAAGTATAGCTACCCTTCTACTGATAACCCTACTTGCAACTACCCATGAACCTCCAGCTAGGAAGCCTCGCCGAAGCCCAAACGCATTCCGCACAAACTCCTGAAACCGTGAAACCCGATTCCTTTGGCTCAGCCTACAGCTAGGTGATGCCAAAACGGAGTTCCATCCAACAGCTGCCCAAGCCCCCCACGCATGATGTGCACCCACGCAGCGACAGCGTGCGACACCACCGGGGCGGGCCTGGCAAGTGAACACTGTCACGACAGGAACTTTGGGAGGTCCAGGGAGCTAGGCGCAGCAGGCTAGGTTGGGTTGCTTTTCACAACTTGAAAGTTGCTGCAGCCCTGACTGATCCCTTTGACTGATATCCCCCCTGCCCTCCCGAAACGCAACTTTTGCACAATCCCATGTGCATGCCTCCATGCCACAGCGGAAGCAGAACATGGACCTGGACCATGCCAAGTGCAGACTTCGCTTTGCCAGTTCAGGGGGGTTTAGGGGTTTCGCCGGGTGGAGGGTTTGGGGCTTGGGGTTGCATGAAGAAGTTCTGCCGCTAACCTTCTGGCAACTAGCAAGCTGCCGCAAGCATGGGGGAAGACTCTCTTTGAGACGCGCCGAGCCCTGCTGCATCGTGCCTTCACACTGATTTACTACGTGATACAGCGCACTGCTGTACTTGCGGCAGAGGGACAGGGACACTCTGCCATCTGTTGCCGAGCTCCAGCACACAAACAAGACCACACAAGCTGGCTACATCTGGCTACCGTCGCAGGACGCGCATTGAGCCGGTGGCCCACATCGGCAGGTCATCTTGTCACATCCGGTCAGCAAGCCATCGGCCTGGAAGAAAGGGATCAGGTCAGGTGGAAAAGGGACAAGGGGTAATCATCGGTCATAACCTTGTTTGGGGTGCTTATAAACCTACTTCTACCTACTCATGAACCTTCCAGTCTTCAAGTAGGTGTGGGACAAAGTCACTCGGCGGCCTGCTTCTGAATGAATATCAGGCATCTCGGGCACTGTCGGATGCCAAGCCGCTTCAGCTCCTGTCGACCGGCTTGTAATCGACATGTCTCGGCTTAGGTCTGTGCCACATGGCAATTTGGCACTCCTTCTCCTTCTGCCGCTTCACCGGTCAGCTCCCTCTCCTAAACCCTAAACCCTAAACCCCGAACCCTAACCTCCTTCCCATGATCTCCCGCAAGCTCGGCTCCTCTACCCCTCTCGGCGAGAGCAGACGTTCAGAGCAGGTCCTGGCCAAAGAGACGGGGTTTCTTCTGCATGATCTGTATGGGGTCTAGGGCTTAGGGGATGTTCCCCCCTTATACTAACAGTCCTTAAATAGGGATTATAGTACTCCCTTTTATAACCCCTATTGAGGGCTGTTCGTACAAGGGGCAACATCCCAACCCTAAACCCTAGTTCAGGGGGTCCGCCTTATCCTGCTGACCCTAAACCCTAAACCCTAAACCCTAAACCCTAAACCCTAAACCCTAGTTCAGGGGGTCCCCTGTCCTGGCTTGCAGCTCGTCCTTCAGACGCTGTGCAGCCGCGATCTTCGCAGCAGCCGCGCCGTCGAGCAGGGGCGACAAGTCCTGCTTGGAGGCTTCGGGGCCTTAGGGTTTAGGGCTTAGGGTTTAGGGTTTAGGGCTACTTGGAGGTTCATGGGTAGTTATAAGTGGGGATGTAAGTAGGGTAACTATACTTTGTACCTTATTTAGGGCACTTATAATTAATTAACCCTACTTCTAGCTACCCCTGAACCTCCAAGTATAGCGGGATGTGTCAAGTGGGGCAGTTGTACCCCAAAATAAGGTAGACATGACCCCACTTGTTTTGGAGGTTTCGTGGGGGCTTTCCCGAAACCCATATACAGCTTGCACCCTCATCAACCCTTCCCAAACGATGTTTTGACGCTCAAAGGCTCCAGGTTGTTCAGGGTTTTTGGGGTTCTTGTTTCAGGTTTAGGGAAAGTGTGTAGGGTTTAGGGTTTAGGGTTTCGGGTTTAGGGTGCTACCTCAGCAGACGTGGACGGATATGAGCGATCTAGGAGGAAGAGCCCTCGGACCCCTTTGCGGGGGTGGCACTTACTTGAAGGTTCATGGGTAGATTTCAGTAGGTCATAGCCAGCTATAATTTGTGTTTACCCCAGGGTCCACTTATAATGTGGTTTATACTTGGGCCTTAAAGGTACCTAATGGGAACCCCTTTAAAGGCCCAAGCACATACTACATAGGTACCTCTACGTAGTATAGCCCTTAACACGAAACCCGAAACTTCATATAGGTACATGGACCCGCACTTAACACGAAACCCGAAACTTCATATAGGTACATGGACCCGCAGGGGACTCAGAACTCCACTTACAACTAAACCCTAAACCCTAAACCCCAAACCCCGAACCCTAAAGTTTTGTGGGACTCTGCGCAACCTCACCTCCTCCCAAATGCTACCGCAGGCAGGCACCGGACACCTGCCAGAGTACCGAACTGAGGGCTTCCGAAATTAGGGGGTACCTTATTGGGGTCCTTATTATAAGGGAATCCTACTATTCGGGGGTCTGTTCCCCTATTTTCGTAAACTCCCAAATTTGTTTCAGAGGTCAGGTGTAGATGCGCTATGGGAGGCTCCTGCACTACGTTCGCCGCCCTCTGCAGCACGACGCCCAACAACGCCCTGATGCAACCCCAAACCCTAACTCCCTCAATGTACCTTTATTGAACCCAGACTCGGATAAGCTTGCCGCATGTACCCCTTTTTTCCATTCCTGAATGTACCCCTAAACCCATTTTATTTGACTTCAAACATCCCCACCCTCTCTTGGTAGAGATACTCTGGGGTTAGGCCCTCCAGGGACACTCTGGGGCTGGGCACTCCAGGGAGACTCTGGGGGGAGACTCCCGAATTGGGCACTCCGGAAACACTCGTCGGGCACTCTAGGGAGTTGGGCTGGGCACTCCGACGACACTCTGGGGTTGGGCACTCCAAGGGAGACTCTCGGCTTGGGTTGGGCACTCCAGGGACACTCTAGAGTTGGGCATCTCAGGGACACTTTGGGCTTGGGCACTCCAGGGATGACCCAGGAGTAGACCGGGCAAGGAGAAGAGTTGAGTTTAAAATCTAACAACCCCACACCGAGAGTGGGCAACAAATCCTTAAACATCCCTAAACCCTAAACCCTAATCCCTAAACCCTAAACCCTAAAAACTCTACAAAACCCTGAAAATAACCTTAAAACCCTAAAAACAACCTTAAAACCCTGAAAATACAGTAACCAAAAGACCCTGCTCTAACATCTCTTCCCTTCCCCCCAGGGCCTGATGGGCAACGAGCCAGCCTCCGCCGCAGCGATGGCCCAACTCTGAGCCTTACTTGAAAGGACTCAAGGGTTTAGGGTTTAGGGTTTAGGGTTTAAGGTTCTTTGTTGGCACCGCATAGCTGGACGGACCACTCCCGTTAAGGGTTTAGGGTTTAGGGCTTCTTGGAGGTTCATGGGTAGTTATAAGTGGGTTAGAACATACTATAAACCCGATAAACCCTATAAGCCCTATAAACCCTATGAACCCTATAAACCCTATCTCTACTGGAGCTGCTGCTTCATCGACCATCTCGGAGTTGAATCAGTGCCTGTAACCCCTTACAGTAAACTCCGAAAAGCTGGAACATCCTTATCCCCATACCCCTATAACATAGGCGACGGTTTAGGGTTCAAGGTTTCCTTTGCCCCACCGGTGGATCCGGGCAAAAGCCTCAACAGTTGTACGTCCCTGCTGCGTGCGGCATAGGGTAGACTACGGCCCCAAACCTCGGTTTAGGGTTTCGGGTTTAGGCCCTTGCTCTCTCTCACTCACCCTAATCTCTCACCCCAAGACCCTCTATCAGCAGGCCCCTAAACCCTAAACCCCATGAGCTAGGAGTCCCGGCGCAGGCAAGGTGAAACTTGGCCTTGCACCCGGAGCATCGGAAAGCGCCTGAGAACATCGGTCCCACTCTTAATGCGGAAATGAGTACGACCCTGTTAATTTGAGCCTAGGGATTATGGTTGCCTATAAGAGGTGGGCTATACGGCGTACTTCACTCAATCTAAACATGTACCTTACTTGCGAATTAGTAAGCATCTGTGCGCAGCGACTGCCGGAAGAGAACCTGACCCTAAACCCTAAACCCTAAACCCTAAACCCTGAACCCTGAACCCGAAACCCTAAACCCTCCATGGCGCCATCGCCCGCAGCCGGCAGCTCGTCCAGGCAAATGGGGCAACAGCCTCCTCCGCCCAGAATTCGGGCATGGTGACTTGACCCCGAGGGTCCGTGTTCCTGTATAGTGATCATATATGCTACAACATATATATATACACACATATATATAGATGTATATGTATATATGTATAGATATGGAATATATAGGAGCCCGAAACATACTGCATAAAAAAAACCTTTTTAAGGCCCAAGTATACCCGATATGGGTACATGGACCCTTTGGGTGACCTAGTAAGGTCAAGTCATTTGTGGGGTAACCGGGTATGCCAGCGCTTTTGCACCTGCCCTGGTCCCCGCTGTGTTCTTGCGTCCCCAGTGCTGGCATCTATCTAACTCTGCCCGCTGAAGGTTCATGAGCATTTTTGTGTAAAGTAACTGTACTACAAGACTTTGCGACACAAGGCTAGTGGTGAGTACGACCCTGCTCACAACTACCGGTGAGTCTTCAAGTATGGAAGGTTGTAGCGTTGACACACACACACACACACACACGTTCCTGCATCTTCACTCCTCATGAAGCTCCGACAACAAAATAGATAGATAGCTTGTCATAGCTTGGTACCATTCCTTTGGATAGGTGGACCTGTGCGTGGAACAGCAACTCTGCATGCAACACAGCTCGGGTGAGACCCATCAAGCAGACACCAAACCGCTTTGGCCCTGCTCCTTCCGACATCGCGGGCCCCAGGGGAGGCACAGACACACGCCGGAGCTCACATCTTGCTGGAGTGGCTCTAGTATGACAGGCTCTGGTCAGCGTTGGCTTCTGATGTGACTTTCATGATGATTGTGAGGGTGGGGGCGGGGTAGAGCGAGAAGCTCCGACTCAACCTTGCACTCAAACTAATGGGAGTCGTCGCAGAGGTTGGGTTGAACTTCCGATCCTGTGTAGAGGCTGTGTAGAAGACATGCGCGACTGCAGGTTGCAATCGGCTGCTCGCTATCGAAATAATGCATGAAGAGGCCAACCTTCAATCGCAAACAGCAAAGTTGGTACTCGGAGCTTGAAAAGGAACTGCAAGGTTTTCATGGGCTGCAGCAACCCGTACAAAACTCAACTCAATCCAATCCGGCCCACTTAAGGTTCAGGAACAGGGCTGAGGGGCTAGGGTTCCTACATGGCTAAGCCCTCTCTCCCTAAAACCCTCCAGACTTTATAAACCCTCATAGTAAGGACCTCGTAAGGCACCAACTTCCCCTCATTCCCCAACTACAGCAAGCAGGAAGCTGGGGTTTAGGGTTGAAGGTTTAGGAAGCCCCTTCCAAAAGCAGCGGTTCTTTCTTCACAGAGGCATGTCAGATGATGCTGTCTTCATCCTCGACGTGGCGCCTTCTCACATGGGCCTGCAGGCAACGCCCTCAGCATTTAAGAAAGGAGGTCAAGTGACAAGACTTTGGCAGAATTGCTCATGCCATCTGCCCAAGAAGGGGCTCTGCTAGGACGACATCTCCTGGCTGCACTTAGGAGGGTAGCTATAAATTAAATTTCTAGCTGCCTTATTAAGAAGCCCAATAAGCCCAAAAAAGGCTAAAGATGTAAAGTTACAGTAAAGCACCACAAAGATCTCCTTGGCTTCCTGCCAGACCACAGCACTGTCGCATTTCACCGGTGCGCAAGCGAAATGGCCCCTCGATCGCAGCGGCCGAAGTGCCCCCCAATCCCCGTACTTATAAGGTGCATGGGTAGTTATAAGTAGGGTTAGAAGTACCCTAAATCGGGTATAACCGGCTATCAGTATAAGTTACCCTATTTATAACCACATATTTACCTATCCAATGAACCTCCAAGAAAAGCCCCAGCAGTCCCAGAGTCAAGATGGCCCGTGGTTCTAGATCGGCCCTGAAACCGCAATTGGAGGTTCATGGGTAGTTCTAAGTAGGTTTTATAGGTTTAGGGTTTAGGGTTTAGGGTTAAAGTAAGGTGCTGGGGTTAATAGGGTTTAGGGTTTAGGGTCTAGGATTTAGGGTTCCTGGCCTTATAAGTACGGTTACCCTACTTAAGAACCCTGCGCCTTGATCTGCTGCGCCGACTCACGGCGACGGAAGGCGCAGGAGACGAGTTCCTTGGATGTAATATAGGGGCCTTAATACTTAGCATAGTTTTTTTTTTTTTTTTTGGGGGGGGGGGTTATTGTAGTATACCTATAAAGGGACCCTGAGAAATTAATTGCTATTCGGAATTATTCGACCCCTATACTAGGCGAGCGAACAGAACTCGAAACTTGCAGCGGCATCTCCTGGTCGATTCCGATGTTCTTCTGCTTAACTGAGTGGTTATGCCAACGTTGATCCGTGCATTAACTCTTTATCCGCTGCGCCACGCTTGCCAGAATAGTAGGGGGGGGGGGGGCAGGTATAGGGGTTTAGGGTTGAGGAGCTTAGGAGTTTAGGAGTTTCGGAGTTTGGGGTTTAGGGTTTAGGGTCGAACTTGAGCTGCAGGATGCTCCAGCCGAAGTTTTCTGGATGGCCTGGTACCGACAAAAGACATTGACATGCTCAATGAATTGAGTGGCGGGCTGGAAACCTGGACAAGTATTCCTGCCCAGGCTAGGGCGATACGCAATACAGGCGCAAGCCTAAACCCTAAACCCGAAACCCTATAAACCCTAAACCCTCAACCCAAAACCCTAAACCCTAAGCTGCAAAACCCAGATCCGGAAGCGGAACTAGGGGGCAACGGCGATGCTGCCACCCCTTGGGCGTGGACTCCCCATGTCGTGGAGCAAAGCTCATGCGCTTGTGAGGGTTTAGGGTTTAGGGATGGTCTAGGGCCTAGGGTTTAGGGTTTAGGGTTCAGGGCTTGTGAGCTTGCAGGGCTACGGGTGTGGGGGTTCAGGTCTCGGTGAATCACTGACCGGAGCCCCTGAAAGGCAATATGAAGGTTAAACAAATTACTAATAAAAATCCCTTCTAATCCCTTTATGACTATACTACAAACCCCCCCCCCCAGAAAAAAACCCTACTATAATTATTCAGGCCCCTATAGTCCTAAACCCTAAACCCTAAACCCTAAACCCTACTCTGACTCTACTTATTCAGGCCCTATATGAGGCCAAACAAGACCACTTCGGCTGCCGGGCCGCGTCCACTTCCACAGCCATGGCCGTCTCATCCTTTTGATCCTGAGGTCGGAAAGCTTAGGGGCTGAGTACCCTAGCCCTAAACCCTAAACCCTAAACCCCAAACCCTGAAACCCTGAAACCCTACAAGCCCTAAACCCTCCTTGCCTCTCAGGGCTTTGACTTACTTCTCCCATAACCAAGGAAAAGAAAGGTCTTTAATACTCCGACTAAAATAAGGAACCCAAAAAGTTTAAAGCTCGACTGTTGGCCAAGTAAGTTGAGGTCTCAATCTACGGTGGCCCTGATTCTTCCAGTCCTACCGCTCACCTTGGAGCAAACCGGGCCGTGGCGTAGCTTAGGCTGAAAGGCTTTAGGGCTTCAGGCGCGCGAGGCTGCAAGTTTTTGCTTTACCCTCGACCTCGCGCGGACGCGCGATGTCTTTTTGCGCCGGGAACCCAATGGGTATCTGCCGACCACACCCCACCGCAAGGAAGGAAAAGGATTTGTTTTTCGCGGGCCCCTAAACCCTAAACCCTAAACCGACTCACCGGCCCCATGACCCAATACGAGGCAGCAAGCAGCTAGCACGTCTAGGAGATCCCAGGATGGCCATTAAAACCCCTCGTTTGGGTTTAGGGTTATAAGGGTTTAGGGTTTAGGGTTTAGGGTTTAGGGTTCATTCCTCAACAGGACCCTCTTACGCCCAAGAAGGGAAAAGATCCAATGTCCCAAGGGCCTACCCCTACTATGTGCTTAAGAACTTAAGAACCCCAAAAGCCGAAAATCCCTATATTACCCTTGTAATGAAAAATCTTGTTCATTTTTTTCGGGGGGGGGGGGGGGGGGTTCTTAAGCAATTAGTAGTATTCTTAATCTGCTCATTGTGCACCAGAACTTCAGGCCTTCTTCCACAGAAGCACACCCCTGGGGTTCTTAAGCAACTACTGGTACCGAGGATCTATAATAAACTCCAGAAAGTTGGAGCATCATTATCCTAATACCCTTAAGGTAAAGTATAGGGAATCCCCTAAACCCTAAACCCTAAACCCTAAACCCCAACCCCCAAACCCACCTTCCAACTTTCTGAAGTTCACTACATCATCGAAGCACAGGCCGCCAAGCGTCTTTCTTCCAGCCGTGCGGACGAATCACATCGGAGCCCACATCCTGAGGGTTTAGGGTTTAGGGTTTGAGCAAACACTCCCAAAAGTGCCCTGGGCTCCTCACATGAGGCAGGGTTTGTATCGCAAGCATCCCCACATGGACACGTGATCTGTCCTTTTGCAGGGAGCCGTGCATGCACTCAGCAAAAACTACAGGGTTTAGGGTTTAGGGTTTAGGGTTTAGGGTTTAGGGACAATCCAGAACATGATTCTTCGCAATCAACTCACTAGATTTGGGTAGGAGAAATCGGCAACGTGCAGCATCATCACTTAGGTGGTTTTGGGCTACATTGGTTGCATGTTGTGGCCGTGTCGGTTCCAAGGCCATATTAGCAAAGCTGGGCAAGCAGGGTTGCGGCACGTCCCAACCACACACCCAACACCTAGATCCTCGAGGTAGCTGCATCCGGGCAGCATATGTGCTGTCCATCAGGTGGCTCAGGTGCGTCCGCAGCAGCCTTTTGCCGGAGACAATTGTTTTGGGGTTGGGGTTTCGGGCAAGAGGTCAAGCAAAGCAGCCTGAAAATCTAAACCCTGAACAAGTGAAGAGCACCCACAAAACTCAAGAGGATTGAAACGACAGAAAACGTCTCTACTATGAGAGGCACGCGACCCTCGAATCCGATAACCCCAGTACAGGCCCTTAGAGCGTTGCCACAGTTTGGGGAATATACCCTAAACCCTAAACCCAAGAATATGGGAACCTCAGGGAACCTCAGAAATGCCCAGAAATATGGCAGGTGCACAGCGGGAATACGGGTGCAAGTGTCTGGGTATTCCTTCCATCTACTGTCCTAAACCCTAAACCCTAAAAACTAAACCCGACCATATTCCTGGGGTTGCCTCCCCGAGGTTCCCACCGCATTTCCGATAGACATGGTCGAAGCATAACGATTACAGACAGCAACTTCGCGTGCTGGCCCTAAACCCTAAACCCTAAACCCTAAAACCCGAAACGATTTAGGGCTGCAGTGTCGACTCTGCGTTTCTGGTCGCGACCCTTGGCAAAGCAAACTCAGTCCATCATCTCAGTCCTACTTCTACTCTACATACTGAGCACTAGTGTAGGAATTAGAATAGGGTCTGGAGGGTCATTTTTAGTATGATTATATAGGGACCCTAATGGAATTAAATTATATTCGTAAAAAATCAGACCCCTGTATTGATTATCAGCCGCCTCTGATTGATGCCCGGCATGCCCTTGACCAGCTGAACATGCTTTGCTGCATCCTTCTTCTTCTCCTAAGTGCCGCAAGTTCGTCTCTTGCGCGGGCTCAAGAAGGCTGTCATTTATGAGGTTAAGGTCTGCAAGGGGCAGCGCATTTGGGCTGCAGATCTTGGGACCAGAGGCTTAAACCATCGACTTCTTCCAGGTCGACAGTGCCAGTGCCAGCAGCTCCGCAACACTAGCTGGCTGCATTCACCCTAAATCCTAAACGCTAAACCCTGAATCACAACGATTACCAAACCTCCAAAAACCGTCCTCCTGAAGCCCGAGCTCTTGGTGTTGACTTTGGCGTTTCGGTGTTTCGTAGTATTCGTTCGGGGAGCTTCTAAGCATAACAAGGCGCCCGCATTCTCTTCCCAGGAGTCTGATCTCATTCTGGGGGCGGGACTTGTTTCAGTCTTAGAGGGTTCAGAATGTCTTTAACGTGCTATGTCCTTGTTTGAGGACTTGGGGTTTCAGAGGGTCCCTAGGCCCTAAACCCTAAACCCTGAACCCTGAACCTAAATCGTGCTGAAAGAAGCCCAGGCACGCCCACAACGCACTCAGCAGCAATAGCGCTTCGCTCCGAGACGGGCACGCCTGCACTGAGTGGTATTCTCCAGGGTCCCATTGAGCTTTAAAACCCATGATTTTTGTATGAGTATATGGTTATAAACTGATATTTTCATAGCTCGTGATCACAAAATATGCTATTAGTATGTTAATGTGTGATGCTATTCATGTATTTTGCAATATGAACATATTGTGGCACTGTGATATTTATTATAGTAAAATATTGCTACAGTAGTTTATTTGCAAATTGTTCTAAAACATGTCACTATAACATATATTGCTACAACATGCTTCATGACATGATAATATTATGTGTTATTGGATCATATCGGATCGTTGGGTTACTGTTTTATTTCGCACTTACATTTTGTATTCTTGCACTGAGTTAGTATGTGGTTGTATGTGTGATTCAACTTGAGGCTACCATAGTATGATGTTGTGGGGTCATTAATACTATTATAAATCCTGTTGTGAATGTTACACTTGTAACTGACAGGTTTCGGTTCTTTGTAGCTTCGAAAGCGTTGGCAGCAAATGTGGGCACCCTCCTGTTCATCCAGGCATTCGCGGCATAATTGAACAGCCATTTTGCTGCCATATTCTAGTAGCATAACTCTATAACCATATAGTCACACAATAGTAAAACAACATAACACAGACGTAGCATAACAGATCCTTACGGGCTGAATAACCTAGCCCAAAAAAAGGTTAACCTTTTACTTGTAATGGGCATATATATATATATGTATAACCAAAAAGGTTAAGGTTAACCAATCAGCCCCGAAGGAACAACACACAAAAGCAAGCCACGCAGCCGCGGGTCTGTGATTCCCTAAACCCTAAACCCTAAACCCTAAACCCTAAACCCTAAACCCTAAACCCTAAACCCTAAACCCTAAACCCTAACACACAGCCACCGGTCTGTGATTCGATGCGCATTTCAAGGCCTCCGACGGCTCCTCGCCACAGGTCCTGCGCGAAATGATTCGGGTGTGTAGGGTTTAGAGAATCCCCTAACCCTAAACCCTAAATCCTAAACCCTAAACCCTAACCCCTAACCCCTAACCCCTAAGCCCTAAACCCTAAACCCTAAGCCCTAAGCCCTAAGCCCTAAACCCTAAGCCCTAACCCCTAAACCCTAAACCCTAAACCCTAAACCCAAACCCTAATCCACTGTGCACATTTCTGGTGCTCTGAAGGGCTTCTGCAAAGGAGGTGTTCGCTGAGTCCAAAGCAGCTGGCGTTTCATGCCGAGCCTCGAGCTTTGCTTGTATGTCATTCCAAGATTTTACGCTTTGCCGACACTTCATGCTGATATGGTCAGTTCAAAATTATGGTCCCCTTTTGGGTACCCCACAAAAAGGGGCCGCCTTCTCAAAAGTAACCCCAAAGGGGACCCTAATTGAGAGACATGACCATGAAACCCGAAACATTTAGGCTGTCATGGTATTCGGGTTTAGGGTTCGGGCTTGTGGTTATACGTAATAGCATTAGCCACGCAATTAAGACGATCAATTTCTTGAGTTCAAGCGCTGTATGGTGAAGGGTTTACGGTGAGAATAGTAGGGTGACCATAACGCACAACTCGCTTGTATCCCTATTTGAGGTACTCGTATACTTCATTGCAACCCTACACCCTATAAAGCCAAACCCTATTACACCCCGTACACCCTACACATCCTAAACGCTACGGCATTCAGCTACTCATATTAACACTACGTCTAAACCCTAAACCCTTTTGCAACAGGCTCGCCACCTAAACCCTAACCCATACACCCTAAAAACCCTAAACCCGAAAAACCCACCCTGAAAACCCAAAACCCTAAAAAACCAAAAAAACCCAAAAACCAAAAAACCCAAAACCCTAGACCCTAAACAACCAAAAAAAAACCCAAAAACCAAAAAACCCAAAAACCCGAAACCCTCAACCCTAAACCCCTGCAAGAAGCCTGCAGGTCGCCGCTAATGGTCTCCGAAGCTTCCACGGGGTCGGGGCCGCCTCGTCATGGCGTTTGAGTTTCCTGGGTGCTGGTTTTTGTTTTATAACCCTAAACCCTAAACCGTAAACCGTAAACCCTAAACCCGAAATTTTTGCCACGCGGTATAGGGTTTAGGGCCAGGGTTTAGGGTATTAGGGTATTAGTTTCCGGATTTTTTTTGCCACCCGCCAAGCAGAGGGTATGGGGTTGCGGGCTAGGGTTTAGGGTAGTCGGGTTTAGGGCTGGAGTTCGCGGACTCCGATGCATGCGAAGTGTAGACGGAAACCCCAAAGCAACACATATCAGCGACATACCGCCCTGGTCAGAAAAATGAGAAGCAGCAGCCCAGCTACTTCTTCAGAGGCATGCGGCTTCAGGGACTTGGGGCCTGGGATTCCTATAGCAACCAAAGATGGGAGACCCTCTGAAACATATTCCTAAATATGTTCCTCTTAAGCCCAAGAAGGGAATATATAACATGTCCCAAGGATCTACGGAGTAACAGCTGCATGATGGGCTCTCTGTCACGTGCGACAACCCAAGTGGGGGTTGATCATGCTGCAACGGCATGGTTGTTTCGATCCAGGGTTCCGGGTTTTGGGTTTAGGGCCCGCTTTAAGACGCAAACTCTGCAAAGCTCCAAGCCCCTTCAACCCCATGAACCTTCACACGCGACAATCAACTCTGCGAAACCTACAAAACCACAAGACCTCCTAAATCCTAAACCCTAAACCCTACGAGCCCTACATGATGAGATAATACAACAGAGCAACTCCGGAAGCTTCACCCTAAACCCTTTTTGCACCTCTAAACCCTGCGCAGTTTTCCTGGCAAAAAAGATTCCTAAATATGATCCTCTTAAGCCCCCAAAAGGGCAAATTCTGGGTAATATAAGTACTATCATTTTCTAACTTTTCGGGGTTCTTCAGCAACTAGTAGAAACGGGCAAACATAAAATGTCTCAAGGGCCTAGCTAGTTTCAGAACCCCGGGATGACGGGGCCTAGATCTGGGAGCTCGCCGGCATAGCTCCACTCGCCTGCAAAGGCCGGTGCTTGAAGGCACGCCTTGAAGCTTCGCCTGAATAATTTGAATAGGCTTTTGGGGGTAAGCATAGTATATAATTATAAAGGACCATAAGTGAATACCATTAGTAGTTATTCCGACCCCGAAATCAGACTCAGGGGAGCATGATACCATCGGACACTGCCCATGATGGATTTTTATTGTCACTTCATCGGGTTCTGGCTGAAACGCCAAACATGCCTCCTTCGTGCACAGACGGGCCGGGAGATGTCTGCAACAAGTGCACCTTAGTTGACCTTAAAATGCCTGCCAAACCTGCACCCTAAACTTCCCCCCCCCCCCCCCCCGTCCTTTTCAAAGTCTCGGCAAGCATGCAGAACAAACTCGGTTTTTGTCATCGCTCCCTGGGCCTGAGGTGACGTACGGCACCGGCAGCTGATCCTCTGGCGTGGCATAGCCGGCTGCGGCACGCATCCGCAAGACATCTTGCATCTCCGCATCGACCTCGCCCTGCCAGGGATTAGGGTTTGGGGTTTAGGGTTTCGGGTTTAGGATTAGGATTTAGGGTTTAGGGTTTAGGGTGCGATCATTCAGCCTGATAGGAGTGCATTTTTTGCGGCAAGGAGGGCACTCAATCCTGGACCCTGAGCCCCCAAGGCCTCCGCCCGAGGCTCGGCAGCCATGACGACGCAGCACGTTCGGGCTTGTGTTTTTGCTTGACAAGGGCCTTGACATATGCTTGCAGCATTTAGCCTGAAAGTTTGACTGAAGATTTCTTTATGTCGGAAAATCAGTGCCCATTTCGCACGTAGGCTGATGGCTTTCCTCACAAGAAGCAGATCTACAAGGCTGCCACACGGCAAGATGAAGATGTCAGGTGATTTCATGCTTCTCACGTGGTTTAGGGTTTAGGGTTTAGGGTATGGAACATGGATGTCGAGAGCCAGGCTGAAAAGACAGAAGCAGAAAGTCAAGCAAGGCGAGAGAGAGAGAGAGAGGGAATGAGGTGGACAAAACTGTGCACAAACCGCAACCCTTTTACACCTACACCTGTTGCGGAAACCCTCACCCCTCAACCCTCAACCCGTTCAGATGCAGGGTCTAGGCAGCAACCTCTGCTGAACCCTAAACCCTAAACCCCAAACCCTACGCCCTAAACCTTAAACCTAAAACCCTAACCCCAAACCCTACACCCTAAACCCTAAACCCTAAACCCCGAGCCGACATGCCATTGTTGCATCCGTGGCTCTTCGCGCACATTCCTACACCTTCCGCGCAGTCTTGTGGGATGCGGCGGTCATGGTTGACCTCTCAAGGGTTTAGGGTTTAGGGTTTAGGGTACAGGTCTTCTTCTAATTCACAAGAGGCCCTTTAAGGGCTTAGGGTAGTTTAGGGTTGTTTTTTTTTTCCGTCAGCAGACAAGCGCATCCCACGAAAAACGTCATGATAGAACATGGCTGGTTCACCATGTCCCAATTCACAGGTCCTCGCTTCTTGCATCCAAAGCCAGTCGAGGGTTTTCATCTTTCACTTTCAGGGTCTGGGTTGGGGTGTTCCCCTTATACTAACAGTCCTTAGTAGGGGTAAAAGTGGCCCCTATTCTAATCCCTTTTAAGGACTTTTAGTATAAGGGGGAACAACGGGGTTTAGGGCCTCGTTTGAAGATAAGGGCCCAGCAGACAGCCTCAACTCTGAATAAGCCCGCAGCTCCAGCAGGTACTTAAAGGGTTCTTCAGGGAGGGGAGTTCAAGGTTCCTTTGTACTCCCCACTACACACCAAGGCTCCCTAAGCTTCTCTAAAGTTCGCTAGGTACCTACTCCGCATGAACCCGCCTCCCTTAAGAACCCAAAAACAACGTGTCCAACATGTTCTGTGGAGTAACCATGCATACAGCCTACACCCGAGTGGACATGAGGGTTGAAAAATAAACCATGATTATAAACATGAATAATAGCCCCTAACATCCTTTACAAGCCCCCTGTTCAAGGCTCTCTGCTGTAGTTTGCACTGCCACTGTTGCCCGGATGCTAGGTGGAGAGCTGCAGGGAGCAATGGACCTGCACAGAAATGCACCGGCAGTCACTCGATGAGCCGGGATACTGCGCCTGTGTCCAATCGAAAACCCTCAGGGTCCATGTACCTAAATATAGTATGTACAGCATATATAGCATATATATAAATATAGTATATATATATATATATAGTATATATATATATAGTACATATAGTGAAAATAGTGTATATATATATAGTGTATATATATATAGTGTATATTGTGTATATAGTGTATATAGTATATAATATATATATATATATATAGTATATATAGTATATATAGTATATATAATGTATATAGTATATATAGTATAATATATATATATAGTATACATAGTATATATATACATCGTATATATAGTATATTTAGTATGTGTAGTATATATATATATAGTATATATAATACAAATAGTACATATAGTATATAGAGTACATAGAGTATATAATATATATATATATATAGTATATAATATATACTATATCATAGTAAAGTGTAAATAGTATATATACATATATATATGTAGTATATATACTATAATACAGAAATAAATAAATAAATATAAATATAAATATGAATATAAATATAAATATAAAAAATATAAAAATATATATATAAATATATAGTGTATAGTATGTAGACTTGGGCCCTAAAGCTACTACACGGGAAGCCCTTTCAGGCCCAAGTATATACTACATGGGGGGCCTTAGGAAAAATGAAGACTTGCTGCAGTCCTGCTCTGCGTGAGGTCGCATCTTCAGCTCAGCCAACAAACTGTATAGTAGAGTCAGTAGAGATCCGTATCTAGGATGGCCCTTAAAACCCTCTGGAAAGTATTCCTGAATATGATCATCTTCAACTCAACAAGGGGAAAAACAGATCCCAGGGGTCTACCTAGGAGAGGTGCAAGAAGCAGAGAACTCGAAATTTCTTTCTTGGACTCTCCAGAAATAGGCCTGGAAAACTGAAGCCCTGGCCCAGCGTGGCAACCCCCCTGAACCCTAAACCCTAAACCCTAAACCCCAAACCCTAAATATTGACAGGGAATCCGTGGCACTGCCTTGTGTCGGCGCGCCCCTTATTCCCAGAGCTTGGCAGAAGCTGTTTCAATGCCTGGTCAGGTTGGGCTAAGGGTTCTCTCAGCGGGGGGGGGGGGGTTGAGGGTACACGCGCCAGATTCGTATTGGCTTGCGGATTCTGAAGCCAGGCAGGTCAATCGAGGTGCGTTTAAGGCCATGCCAAATTTGATGTAAGCTTAACTTCCTCATCTTACTCCCCTGCGTGTCGACGATGACTCTTGTGCCGGGGAACATCAATGACACACACGCACACAGAGACAGCAGCTCAGCCCATTCTGCCTCAAGCAGTAGCCACATGTGCTCTCAACATCGTCAGGGTTTCATAGTTGCCCAATACCCTGGCCCAAAAAAGCATAAGCTTTGCAGACCGGAAACCCTAAACCCTACACCCTAAATCCTAAACCCGGAGAGCTATCGCAGTTCGGAAGCGCCTGCCAGCGCGCCGCCCTCCATCTTGAGGCCGGTGATCTGCGACAGAGGGGATCGCAAAGCCATGCGCTTCGTTAGGGTTTAGGGTTTAGGGTTTAGGGTTTAGGGTTTAGGGTTTAGGGTTTAGGGTTTAGGGTTTAGGGTTTAGGGTTTAGGGTTTAGGGTTAGGGTTTAGGGTTTAGGGTTTAGGGCAGAGGCTGTAGATTTAGTTTGTAGGAGCATCGAAGCCAGGACCAGGGAGGCCCAAAAGTGGAAGCTTGTGCTCTTTGTTGTTGCTCATGAAGTTAGGGGTTTAGGGTTTAGGGTTTAGGAGAGTTCATTTTGCGAAGGAGTTTTGTATGGCTTTGTGCAGGCTGCGGATTATGGACAGATGTAGGAAGCTCCTGGCTGGTACAAAGGCGAAGGTGCCTTCTCAGGGCATGTTTTGGGATGTTCCCCCCTTAAAACTAACAGTCCTTGATAGGGATTCTCATACCCCCTATTATAGTCACCATTAAGGACTGTTAGTATAAGGGTGACCATCCCGAGGCATATGGCTACGGGCTGATGCAGACTGGCTGGACATGTTCTTTGTACAGCCTGGCCATATGCACATACCAGCCAATTCACACACTAAGCACGGTGGAGGTCAAATGCAGAGGAGGGTGGCAAAAGATCCATGCAAGAAATTCTCAAAGAGGAACGCTGAACCTAAACCCTAAACCCAAGCCAAGCCCTTTGCCCCCAGCCCCTCTGCCACCTACCGCCCTAAAAACCTTAAACCCGAAGCCTAAACCCTAAACCCTAAACCCTTAACCCTAAACCCCTGAAACAAAACCGGAGCACCTGCATCCCATCTCTTACCACGAAGCGACCACCCAGATCCTGCAAGCCACAGCAGGGTCCGGGGATGTTTGGGGCTTAGGGATGTTTGGGGTTTCGGAGTTTAGGGTTGCCCAAGACCAAGGCTCCTAAACTCGTACCTAGACCTCCAGCTGTAGATCCCAGTTCTTTGTTGGGTGCCCAGCTTAGTTGCCATTCTACGAACTACCGCTGGACAAAATGCCCGTTCCCCCCTAAACCAAGCGAGTAACTACCATTGAGGGGTTGTTACAGATCTCTGTAACGTGCAAAGGGCTTAGATAACAACAAGCAGGCCTGTCGCAAAAACAACAAGCAGCGATACACACCCTCTGTAACGCAGTATGTCGCGCATTGGCTGTCGACACGCTACAAGCTAACAGCAACACGCGGCCAATTTAGCCACCATATCCAGAGCGTAGCAACTTACACAGTCCAGGGCTTATGTTGAGATGCCCCCTTTACGCTAACAGGTGTTAAAAGTGATTATTATAGGGGGGTACTATAATCTCTATTCAAAAACTCTAACCCCTAACCCCTAAACCCTAAACCCCAAACCCTAATCCCGAAGTTTAGGGTATCTCCTTCTCGGCCCTCTTCCCCGCTGCCAGTAGCACCTTGGGGCCATGGTCTCTTCAAAACTGGGGTTTAGGACTTGTTTAGGGAACCTTGGACCAAAAACAAAGTAAAAAGGGTACCACTGGGCTACGAAGGGGGTCTTGGGCTTTAGAGCAAGTAGAGCCAGTTGCTGCTGGGACACATAGGACCGGACTTTCAGATTTCATGTCATGAAGATGTGCCTGGATGCATGACACGGGCAATATCTCGGGCCAATTGTAATCTCCAGCAAAAACAAAAGCCTGAACCCTGGCCCTAAAGCCTACTTGGAGGTTCATGGGTAGGGTTAGAAGTAGGGCAACTATGATTGTCAGTGGTTATAACCTTATTCGGCGCACTAAGAACCCTACTTATAGCTACCCATGATCCTCCAAGTAGTCCTAAACCTAAACCCTAAACCCCAAACCCCTTTTAAAACCCCTAACCCCCAAACCCTAAACCTCTTTTAAAGCCCTAAACCCCTTTTGATCCTCCAAGCAAGCTACTCTGACGATCTCCTAGGCCGCTGCCGATTTCATCCTGCTCGGGCCCAGACATTGCCATGCGACGTGAAGAAGGTCTGGTGCGAAGATTGGTCGGGTCAGAGGGGCCGGGGTAGGATTGGGGGCCTATGAAACTTAACTATTTTTATGGCTTTATACGGATAATAAAGGAATTAGAGGG